AAATTACAGGCCTCTCTCATTTTTTAAGTGGGAGAACTTGCACAATTGGTGGCTGACTAAATACTTTTTTGTCCCACTGTAAGATGAGTCTGTGCGGAATTCTCTGCCTTTGTGGTCAGTCGCTGGAGACCACATAACCATGGTTCTTCAGTTGGACTGGATTCTTTAGTCATAGCAATCAGTGACAAGGCAAAGTCCCTGCCATTCAGTGTTAGTACTCTACTGTGTGATGTTGCCACATAATGTTCTCCTGATTGTGCAGCTATCTCAAAAAGCAGCATAAAACAGGAGAGGTTCCCTGCTTCTGTCTCCCTAGATCGGTTTCAGGGTCCCCAAAAGTGTGTGAAACAGCAGCACCTGGTGGCAAATTGCATGCACTGTGGTCCAGTGAGGATTACACTTTATTTACATCTTGAGTTATAACATTTTAAAAAATAGATAGCAGAAAATGCTATTTGGAATTGGATAATTTCACCTCATTTTCAAACTGCTCAAATGTCAGAATTGTATTTCAATAGCCTTTTCCTTTGAAAGGGGTAATCTGCAGTTCCCTCCTAGGTTAGACAGTTCTACAAAGATCTGTTTTTGTTATTTTCTATTACTAAAATATTACCTGTTTTACATATATCTTTGTATTATATAAATATTTTTTATTTATTTGCTGTCTTTCTGAAAGCTTCTAACTCTAACTAAATACTATGCACTTTCAGGTTTTAAACTTTAAGGAGCATTAATGATCCTTAATAATCTTTACCTTCTAAGGCTATAATCCTAACAAATTAGCCCCACTGAAGTAAAACAGGAGTTATTTGTAATACCCCTTGAAAACTATTCCAGGAATGGAAGAAATTCTTCTGATTCTATAACTTTGGATCCAAGCTGCCATGTTTAAAACGATTCTATACACAAGAGGCACAAATCCACTTTTTAATTCTATACTATGAGTTATATGAGAAAAATATCTTCCTTCATAGCAATCTCTCAAAATTGGAAAACAAAACCCTACAATACAATGCCATCAGATTGTAGGACAGGAACAAGACTAACAGAACGACTCCAATGGCTCAGCTATTTTCAGTTTGTCTCTATGAACTATTTTCCATTCCAACTGGATGATATAAAAACACTTTCATTAAAAAAACCCTAATACCTGACACTGAGGTTTTTCTACCTTCCTAATCACATCCTTTTCTCATCTTTTGGATTATTAAATTTTTTTTTTTTTGGCAAGGCATACTAATTTGCTAGAGTCTTGTAAATGTTCCAAAAAAAAAAGTATATTTTGGGATTATAGGATCAACGCTAACAGAGCCATCAGGCTGTCGTGCTTCTTCCTCCTTTACATGTGCAAAAAATTCAATGTTCTTTTCCTGGTTTGAGGTAAAACTCTGGTTATCATTTTGTCCGAAGCAGGACTGAACTCTCCTCTTATAACGTAGGATTGCATCCAGTGTTGCCACCAGCACCAAGTTTACAGAAGCTCTATTTTCATCTCTGTATCCATTTCAAATCCAGGATTTTGATTCTACGTGTGAAAGCTTCTCACATCTCATGTCTTCCTTATGTTAGACTTTGCTTGTTTCCTGAACAGCAATTTGTTATGTTGCTACACCTCTGAGCTTGTAATCGCCCAGCACAATCCTATTCACATTTACTTGAAAGTAAGCTTACTTGTTAGTAAAACCATTTTAGATGGAGTTCAGAAAGACTTGCTCCTATATAAACGGATATAGGCATGCAATCCAAAGTATTTATAACTGTCTAAAAAAAGAGAGAACCTAATGAGCTCTTAAGCATTTAATTGAAAAAACAGGAAAAATGTACATATGACAAGTACAGCAACCCACACTATTAAATTACACTTCTGATATAAAAGTTTGAACACAATGCCCACAAAATCCAAGAAATTTACAACCAAGCAAGTAAGCTTAGCATAGGCATTCACGAAGTGGGAGGTGACAAGACATGCATCGCAACACAAACCATATGACTTATATACTTGCATCTGATGTTGCTATGTCAGTATAAAAGGCTGGGAGATTGCATCATGATGTCACAATGCAATGTTTTATCATTTTTGCATTACTGAAGTTGGTACCAACAACTGTTACTTTTGTACCAAGAAAATGTTGTATAAACGCTCTCGGTTATATTGCTATGATACTTGCCAAACAGAAATTAATCATGGGTGACAATCATGCAGCTAATCAGTTTTATGAACTGATACTTATTAAAATAAGTATTTTTTCATCTGACTGACATCTTGGCATATTTGATGCACAAAATCTATCATAAATACCTGAATAATTCATGCATAAAGCCATGTTAAAATAGTACATTAGAGAAACTTTAACAAACATATGAAATGCTTTATGA